GGCGTCGGTTCGGCCGGGAAACGCCCAAACCGGGCGTTCGATTTAAATATTTTTTTTTTTTTTTTTTTTTTTTTTTTTTTGATTTAAAAAAAATATTTTTTTTCTGAATTAAAATAAGTTAGTAAATTTAATATAATTTTATGTTTACAGGATGTCTAATTGGGCGAAAAAATTCGGACTCGGAAAAGGGAAAGGACCCCTGATTCGTCCACCTGCAGATCCGGTGGTGGAGACTACTGCGGAACGGGAGGGAAGGACACATAATAGAAATGTGACTAGTTCTAAACGTCGTGGGGAACGCACTGGTGCTTTTGTACCCCCACGTACGATGATTCAGGAGGAGACAGAGACAGAGGCCGAGCAGGAGATGGATGCACCCATGGATGCATATATGCAGCCGCAGGAGTACGAGTACGATCCACAACTACGCTTTCAGCAGAAGTATCAGTTTCCGGTGCCGGATTTTCCATCCGATGACGATTACGAGGATGTTCCGACTCCGACTCCGTCTCCTGTCCCGATGGGTGGTACTTTCGGTGGTTCTAATCCTGCCTCGAGGTCCCGCACCGCTCCGAGAAAAAAACTTCCTTCTCGACCTTGGATGTTGACCGGTGAGACCCAATTCGTCCGCTAAAAGGTGCTAAGAGGGAGAGAAAAATAGCATCTTACAAGGTTAACTATGAGCCCGGCGATCAGATGTGGAGTATCCCCCACACGCACATGCTTAGTCGAGATTACTATGGTCGGAAGGCGCGTCCAGCTTGGGAGTCGGATCCGGAGTATTTGCCGTGGTATCTAGACCACACCCACGTCCGTGTAGATCCTAGTACCGAGCCGGTTGAGAGAGCGGAGCCATCTGCAGTTCCGGCTATATATGACCTCACCCGAGTGTTGCATCCGTACTTCTACGATAACTTGCCTCCTTCTATTATTCCAGGATATCGGCGTATCCCCGATGACTTCTTCAGGACGATCCAGGACATGTGCGCCCCATTCGCTGAGTATCTTCAGTTGGACCGTGATGATGCCGATGGTCGGGATGCAGGACCCTCACAAGGGCGACATTCTCACCGCAGGCGTAGGACGAGGGATACTTAGGTGTTCAGGACCTGATTTTCGTTTTTTAAGCTAAATTTATGTTTAATAAAATATGTTGTAACCATAACCTGATTTCCGTTTATTAGTGTTCAGGACCTGATTTTCGTTTTTTAAGTATTATTATTATTATTATTATTAGGTTAATAATTATTATTATTATTATTATAACATCATAACATAATAATAATAATAACATACAATGTCAATAGTAACACATTCATTCCAACAAAATAAACAAAACTAAATCAAACACTATTAAGAATATCCCACATTTCACGTCGACTCCGCAACGCCTCTGGTAGATATGCAACACTATTGTTGCTATACCTCGCCCACTGTCTATCAAACGGAGGAAGCGGACAATTGTCATTCATCTTCACATACACAAAGTGGCTTCCTGATTCAAGAAATAGTATAGTCATCTCGTAAGATAACTGTGAAACACCTTCGGGAGCCCAAAGTGGTAAATAAGTCTGATTGCCCAAGCTGCTAGCCGACAAGAACAACGCGTTGTAATATGTTGCCACAACCACGCCCACGTCCGTGATAGTCATCCACTTCTCATAGGGTGCTGGGGCGTTGTCCCAATAAGCGACACTCGCCAATACCCGATACACTAAATTACCACCACCGAAATAATCCTTGAAGAACTCTTCGTGTGTTTTAATACAGTTATAAACATCCATTCTAACATCCATCCAATCATCCTCGTGGTTCTTCACTGCACACGCGACGCTTCGATAACCACAATTACCATCCCCTTGAACGTCCGTCCACGTCACAACCTCCGGAACAAGGCAGAAATGAAGGTGTCGCATCCAAGGGGGTCGGGGAATTTGACCTATTGCGGGTCCACTCACGGTCGATGAACGAGCGCGACCACGGCTAGATCTCTCAGAAGATGAACCACGCCCTCTGTTGCCTCGTGATCGTCCTCGTCCTCGTCCTCGCCCTCGTCCAGACTCTTCACCTTCTCCCGGAAATAATGGAAACTCATGCCCTGACCAATCCCTCTGTGTAGAGTTCGTCCGCGGTCTACCTCTCGGGCAGTCTAGTACTTGTGGCGCATTCATTTCCATGGCCCCGGGATGCATTCGTTCAAAAATGGCATCTGTCACGTCCGTGATCTCAATTTCTGACCGCTCACGCAAATCATTCATTAACCCTTCTAGCCTGCCAATAGCCTGTGACCTGTGGTCGGGAACAGAACCAACACTTTCATCTAGGGAATCCCCGAATCCCGAAATAAATGTCCTCCAAAAAATGTGGACATCCTCTGCATAAAACACACCACGTCGTGCATTCATCTTTGCACGAATTTCATGTCTGCATGGGAGTCCAAGACATTTCCTCATATAACAGACGCAACCGTCTATGTCTTCATCCTTCTCATCGTCCAACATCTGCAGAGCATTATGTGTTACAATTCCTCAAGCAACCCAATCAAATGTTGCATCACTGTACGATCACCCCTAGATAGTCTTTTCAATTTCGCCTTCTGATTGTATATTTGTTTTGAATAAGCATCGAGGCCCAAACCATTTTGTCTCAAGTTAGCCAAAATCTTCTTGGGCGGCACATGACTTTGTGACAGATCACTAATGATCTTCGCCTCCTCCTGAGACAATGCACTCATCCCATGCCCGGACTTGTATATCGGAACATGATTATGCTTCCCGTATATTACTCTGACCTCCCATTTATCATCCCATCGTAGCTCTCCGACAATATAAAAACCACAGCCTATCTTTTTGCTACCGGTCCTTCTCGGGCGCGCTTCTGGATTAGTTGATGGACATTCTCGTTTTTCCCCGAATAGGTCACAAGTCAAAAAAATCTTTTTTTTAGGACTGCTTCTTTTTACTATTTTCACAAAAAGACCTCTTGCAACGAACCTCACCCAAACCACTACCTCATCCTTTGAGTCAAACAACTGAGTAGTGGTAAAATAATCGGTATGATCAACTTCAAATGTAGTCGTATCGTCCTGAAAAAAAACATAAAAAAATTGATTTAAAAAAAAAAAAAAAAAAAGGTTTAAAATTCAAAAGCCCAAGTCGGGC